ACACAGTCCTAGCACGAGCAAAAGAATGCTTACATTTATCTCCTCATATGCATATATGAAGCAACATGGTTTACGTACTATATTGCAGCATATGTTTACAATGACCCATTTTTGGAAAGTTTGGAAGTATATCGTTTTTTTGTAAATAAACTTGCATGTTGGAACATTGATTTGGTAGTTTGGAATAAAGAGCTTGAGTTTTTGGACAGTTGGCGTTGGTTGATGGTTAAAGGTTTAGGAATACTTCTAAACAGGGGACCACATTTTCCTACAAAATAAAATATAAAAAGACACCAAAAAAAAAAAAATAATCCAAAAAATTAGGAAAATCAACTAATGAACCGGAAAACCTCTAAAATGAGCTCAAATGATCTCGAGTCAATACTGTAAAACACGTAAAATATAAATAATTTTACACTGTAAAACACGTAAAATATAAATAATTTTAAATAACACATTTGAAATGGGGCAAAGAGAGCAAATGTTCCTATTGTGGTGTCTGAAAATGTAAAATGTTTCAAGAAAAACCTAACATAGTCAATACAAACTGTGGCCAGAAAAAAAAGTTGTGTTGACTACCATTTGTTAGGTTGCTATATGTGAGTGTAACTGCTAAATTGTATATTGTTATATTTGATTGGTACACATTTGTTTTGGTTAAGTTGCAGTATGCTCTATGCCTTTCACTTGAACGCTGATGAGCTTTCAGCAGTTAATTTCTCAGAATATACCTTGTTAAGCCTCATTGCTCTTATGAACTTCATCAAATTATTCAAAAGTGTTTACAAACTGGATGCAGAGGTTTGTGGCATTAATTCTTGTAGAAAACACTTAGCGGGATAATTTGATAATTGTACTTAGCTGCTCCTCCCAATTCTGTGACTTCTCTTTAATATGTTTGTTCCACATCAATTCGTTATTGTGTTGTCATTGCGTACAAGTGTTGGTCCAACACTTTCTCCCTTTGAGCTAGCTTTTTGGGACAAGTTCTACCCAGACCCATATATCATGTTATCGGATCACCCGAATTTGTTTGTTTGGAGGCGATGTTTGGTTTACCCTGGCCCGTTCGGATGCTTCTCACACGTTTTGTTCCTCTTCAGTTTAGTTATCGGGCTGTTTATAAGTATGGATTTTGGCACCCTCTCCCTTTGACCTAGCTCTTAGGGATGAGTTCTAGTTCTATCCAGGCCCATTTATCACCACCACCACCACACCACCATCATAATTTTATTTATCTTTTACAATGTGCGAGAGTGATTTTACTAGTTGAACCACAGTTTTAACTTTGAAGTTGTTTTCCTATTTACTGTTAGATGTAATGAGGCGCATAAATTTGTTGAAAGAGGAAGCAGGAAGGATTGCACAGAACAAGACCCTTACTCATGGTGAGAAGCACAAGATAAATGCTGCCAAGTACTCGGCTATGATGGCTCCTATTGTTGTGGTCTTAGAGCGCCGTTTGGTTTCAACATCTCGGAGACCCGAAACGCCTCATGAGTCGTGGTTTTTTACAGAGTATCAGGAACAGATTAAATCAGCCATTACTAAGTTCAAAACTCCACCTACTTCTGTTGTGGCCTTGGCAGATGTTTGGCGACCATTTGAGGCAATAGCTACTTCCCTGGCAACAGATCAGAGGAAGTCCTCAATTTCATTTGGAGAAGTTTCCCCACAGTTGGCTTCTCTCATGTCTTCTAATGCTCCTATGCCAGGTTTGGAGAAGCAAATTATGATATCCGAACCGGAGAGCGGTTTAGACAGCTTTAACACGGACATAGTAACAGTCGCTTCTTTCTCTGAACAATTAACTATTTTGCCAACCAAAACCAAACCTAAAAAACTAATTATATTGGGATCGAATGGTCTGAAGTATACATATCTTTTGAAAGGACGAGAGGATCTGCGTCTTGATGCTCGAATTATGCAGCTACTGCAATCTGTCAACGGTTTTCTGCAGTCATCATCTGCTACACGTTGGCAGTCCGTAGGAGTCCGTTATTACTCGGTAACACCACTTAGTGGACGAGCTGGTCTGATCCAGTGGGTGGAAAACGTTATAAGCATTTATAGTGTTTTCAAATCATGGCAGAATAGATATCAGTTACAACAGCTCTCTGCATTGGGTGCTGATACAAAAAATGCTGCTGCTCCACCTGTCCCTCGTCCCAGTGACATGTTCTACGGGAAAATTATTCCAGCTCTTAAAGAGAAAGGCATAAGAAGAGTAATATCGAGAAGAGACTGGCCGCATGATGTTAAGCGGAAGGTTCTTTTGGATCTCATGAGCGAGACTCCTAAGCAACTTCTTCATCAGGAACTTTGGTGTGCCAGTGAAGGATTTAAGGCCTTCAGTTCAAAATTGAAAAGGTGATTCATATTGCTCTTAAATTAGTTAAAGTGTTTTATTCCTATGCTCAGATTCCACTGAAATTTGCATGTAATGACTGAACTGTAAAATGAAAAACGTGGTAGATCTATAAGTTTTTTTGTTAAAAAAAAAATGTTGTACGTGAAATTAGTCAAATATAAATAATGTGTAGCTACTTTTTAGGGAACAGGACAAGGCTGCGGAATAGATGAAATTATCTGAATCACTTTGCACAATAATGTAAGGCTTCAAAGTCAAAAAATTAAACACTACCCAGAAGTATATCAGATCGGCTCTCCTATCAATATATTTGATTTTTTTTAGCATTTTCTATCTGATCTTGTAGTTCTTTAACTGTGCAATTTCTTTGATTGTTGATCTTTGTTCATGCATTCGAAGTTTGCGGACAATACATTTGAAAGCTGTAGATACAACTGAACTTATAGAAAAGTACTGACGGAACTAATTGAAAAATAGTTAGCATTAAGAGCCAGGTGTTGGTAGAAAAAATGTCCAGATAAACTAAATTTCGTCTCCTAAAAAGTTGATTTTAGAATTTGTAGATTATTATAACTGAATTCGTTAAATTATTCTATTGTAACTGAAAGGAAAAGGCTTGTATAATTTATTTTCTTTAATTCAGTAGTCAAGGCATCTGAGTTGATGATTTCCAGCTTAATCCTATTTTATTTCCTGTAATTGTGTGCATCCTTATTTAGTCCCCATGATATCTTCTGTTAGTTCTTCCCGTGAATTGGTTGCATGAGACAGAGAAGGAATATTATGTATTCTGTTTCTCTTATGTTTTCAACATTGTTGCATGGTACTTCCATGCAAATACTGTTTCACAAAATTTTAATTCATATAAATTACTGCAATTAGTGTTGATGGCTTTTGTGCAAACTTCTTTTGCAACTAATGATGCAACCCATGGGGGGAACAAAGAGTAATTTTAAGAATGCGATATGTGAATACTTATTGAGGATTTCTATGAGAGGAGAAATATGAATCAGTAGATGCTGACATAGTCTCTGGAAAGAGTAATGAGTTCACGTTTCAGAATTGAAGCACTGGATGACTGGACCGATCAATTGATGGGCTTTGTGCCATGCTCAGTGTGTGGATATCTTTGTCCCTAGAATCCGGTTGACATGTTAAGACTATAATTTTCTTGGTCAAAGTTTTATTCTTTTATTTAATTGTCAGATACTTTTATATCAGTTTTGACTTACTATTTGGTTCCCTGTAGGTTTTCTGGCAGCGTAGCAGCTATGAGTATTGTTGGTCACATTCTGGGTCTGGGTGATAGACACTTGGACAATATCCTTATAGATTTTTGTTCTGGGGATATAGTGCATATTGATTACAATGTGTGCTTTGACAAGGGTCAGAGATTAAAGATCCCTGAAATTGTTCCATTTCGCCTTACCCAGACAATTGAGTCAACATTAGGGCTGACTGGCATTGAAGGCTCCTTTAGGGCAGACTGTGAAGCTGTTTTAGGTGTTTTGAGGAGGAATAAGGATATACTATTAATGTTATTAGAAGTTTTTGTGTGGGATCCTCTTGTGGAATGGACACATGCAAACTTTCATGATGATGCAGCCGTTGTTGGTGAGGAGAGGAAGGGCATGGAGCTTGCTGTGAGTTTAAGCCTCTTCGCGTCACGTGTCCAAGAAATCCGTGTTCCTTTACAGGTACTTATAGCATAATAAACTTTACCATAACATCATAATCTCAATTTAAGCATATAATCAGTGTTAGTATTTTAAATATTTGACATTTTGAAGAACTTACGTCAATGTCAAGTTATCGATACATGCTTCTACCAGACGCATTAATTTTCTGTTTTGGGCTTTGTTTAGTTGAAGTTTGTTGATTCTTAAGCTCTGAAGAGGTACTATTTATGAGCTCGAGCAACATCTTGTTTATTTCTATAACTATTAGTATATCTCAGTTAGAAAAAATTGGCTTGTACCAAAGGAAGTTCATATCTTCAGTTGCTGTGTTTGTCTAAATGATCTTTATTGCTGTTTACTGCACTTAGGTATATCATCCAATTACATTAACATATTTGTTCTTTAAGAGTTGTATCTGGTCTAAACTCCAATATTGTAGAAAACTTTTTTTGGTGATGGAGGTCTCTTAAGTGTTGAGACTCAAATTTCTTAAGTCTTCATCATCCCTGTGCGTATTTTATTAATCTCATTTGATGTACTGTTGATCTAAATTTGTCCAGGAACACCACGATCTTTTACTCTCTACCTTACCAGCAGTTGAATCAGCCATGGAGGTTTGTTGCAATTGCTGCCATCTTAATCACTTCTCAAGTTCTGTGTAATAAATTGCAACTCACACATCTTTTCAATGTTACATCACTTGTAGAGGTTTTGGAGCATTTTAAACCAGTACGAGATTGTCTCAAATCATTTCTACCGTGCTGACCAAGAGAGATCCAACCTAATTCAACACGAGTCATCTGCAAAATCTGTTGTTGCTGAAGCTACTAGTCACTCAGAAAAAAGCCGTGTTTTGTTTGAAGTACAGGTTCGAGAAATCACTCAAGAACATGCCATGCTCATTGAGAAAGGCCGAGAAGCAGCCGCCTGGGCCGAACAGCATGGAAGGATTATTGATGCTTTAAGAAGTAGTTCTATTCCAGAAATTAAATCCCGCATAAGGCTGGGTAGTTTGGAAGAAGCTCTGTCTCTTTCTTCAGCTGTTATAGCCGCTGGAGTTCCACTGTCTGTAGTTCCTGAGCCCACCCAAATCCAATGCCACGAAGTTGATACGGAAGTTTCACAGTTAGCAGCTGAGCTGGATAGTGGGCTTTCTACAGCAGTTTCTGCTCTCCAAATGTATTCATTAGCTTTGCAGCGAATCCTACCATTAAATTACCTTGCAACCAGCCCAGTCCACTGTTGGTCCCAACTTTTGCTCTCTTTGAATAATCTCTCTTCCGAAGTCGTATCAGCTGCCAGAAGCCAGGGTGCTGAAATTGTCAGTGGACACACTGATAGATTTGCATATGCTAAGAACAATTATGATGACCTTTGCCTCAAGGCTACAAAGTATGCTGCAGATATAGATAGGTTGGAAGAAGAATGTGAGGAACTTGTGGTCTCCATCGGCCCAGAGATGGAATCAAAGGCCAAAGAACGTCTATTATCTGCATTCATGAACTACCTGAATCTTACAGGCTCCAAAAGTAAAGATGAATATGTTGTTTCTGGACCAGCAATACATGAAGAGACAAAGAACATGTCATCTTGTGAGCAGATTGAAAAGAAGAAAAAAAAGTTATTGAATATACTAGATATGGCTGTGAGCAATTATTTTTCTGATGTTAAGTATCGATTACGAACAAGCCTTGATTCTTTTGGAGGGGAAAGAATCACCAACAGTATCCCACTGTCAGGCCTTGGTTCATTTTGCAGTGCGTTTGAGGAGCAAATGGAAAACTGTGTTCTAGTATTAGAGTTTCTTGACGAGTTAAAAAGCGTTGCTGGCCTGAATATATGTGAGCCCGAGGTTGATGCAAATAGGTCAAACACCTCATGGGGAAACTGGGCTTCAACTTTCAAGAACAGTATTATTTGTTCAAAAAACCTCGTTGAGAACATAGCGGAAGTGGTTGTACCCAGTTTGATAAAATCTGTGATCTCATTTAACTCTGATGTAATGGATATTTTCGGATCTATCTCCCAAATACGTGGGTCCGTAGATGCAGCACTCGAGCAGCTTATCCAGGTTGAGTTAGAAAGAGCCTCTTTGACTGAACTGGAGTCTGACTACTTTGTGAAGGTAGGGCTCATTACTGAAAGACAGCTGGCTCTCGAGGAAGCTGCCGTCAGGGGAAGAGATAATTTATCTTGGGAAGAGGCTGAGGAGCTAGCATCTCAAGAAGAAGCTTGCAGAGTGCAGCTTGACAGGCTCCATCAGACATGGAACCAGAAAGATTTACTGTCTTCATCACTTTCAAAAAGAGAAGAAAGTATCAATAGCGCTTTGGTTGCTTCTGAACTTCAGTTGCAATCTCTTGTCACCGCCGAGTCAGAAATGGAACCACATGTCTTGAGAAGGAAAGCACTTCTGGCGAAATTAATTGAGCCTTTCTCAGAGTTGGAATTGGTTGATCAAGCATTGATGTCTCCAGCAGGGCCTGTCACGCATAACTCGGATAGAATTCCTTACCTAGTTGAGTCAATAAATTCAGGACGTCCGATATCCGAATACATATGGAAATTTCCTGGTTTATCTCATAATCATGCCTTTTTCATTTGGAAGGTTATTATGGTGGATCTTTTGCTTGATTCCTGCGTGCATGATGTTGCCACGTCGTTTGATCAGAATTTAGGGTTTGATCAACTTGTTGATGTAGTTAAGAGAAAACTCAGAAACCAATTTCAAGAGCATGTCAGCAAATACTTGAGAGACAGAGTGGCCTCAGTTTTCCTGAGTAAATTAGATAGAGAAGTTGAGGTTTTGAGGCATACGACGGAACCAGGCATGGCGACTGGTCAAATGCCAGCAGATCTTGCGGCTGTGAAAAGAGTGCAACTCATGCTTGAAGAGTACTGCAGTGCACATGAAACTCTTAGAGCAGCAGAATCAGCAGTCTCTATCATGAAGAGGCAGGTCAATGAACTAAAAGATGCACTCCTCAATACCCGCTTGGAAATTGCTCAGTTGGAATGGATGTATGATGCGCACTTAAGACCCTTGGAAGATATAAGGCTGATAACACGTAAATATCTTTCAGATATTGATAGCTTATTGCCACTTATATTGAACACCAACAGGCCAAATTTGCTTGAAAGCATGCGGTCTTCTGTTGCAAAGATTGCTAGGTCACTGGAATGCCTGCAATCTTGTGAAGTAGCTTCTGTTACAGCTGAAGGGCAGCTTGAGAGGGCAATGAGTTGGGCCTGTGGGGGCCCGAACTCAAGTTCTGCTGGAAATGCTCATGCTAGAAATTCAGGAATACCTCCTGAATTTCACGATCATTTGATCAATCGTCGGAAATTATTGCTGGAGGCACGAGAAAATGCATCAGACATAATGAAAGTTTGTATATCCTTATTGGAGTTTGAGGGTTCAAGAGATGGTATTTTCAGGACTTCAACTGGGGCGGATGGTGTAATGTGGCAACAGTCCTACCTTAGTGCAATAAAAAAATTCGACATCACCTATCATTCTTTTATACGTGAGTTTGAAGTCTTCTCCTCGTTTTTATATTCACTGCAAGTCAATACAGGTTTATTTGCTAGTTAGTCAAGATCAAATATTTTATTGCCTTCACTTCAGGGGCTGAGAAAGAGTGGAAGATTGCACAAAGAAATATGGAAGCAGCTTCTGGTGGTTTACTTTCTGCAACCAGTGAACTTTCGGTTGCTTCAGTAAGAGCTAGGACCGCATCAGGTGACATGTCTGTTGTAAAAGATCTCATATGTGCAACCAACCTCACAATGATAGTGAATACCTGAGACATGAATATTTATATAAACCAACCTATATTAGCCACTTGTGATATTACATTATATAGAATTGTGGCCCCCACCCAAAACTCTAAATTTCTTGGGCATATTAGAAAATGTTCTATCTTGGTTTTTCCCACTTCCCGTGTTCCACTCTTCGCTACTGTGGTGAAAAATAAACACCTGATGTCTTCTTAAAATTTTTGTCAAAGTGATGCTGGTCTTGGAAATGTGAATATCTTAATTTCCCCCAGTAAAAGTGCGGTGGTATTACTCCAAGAATGCTGGTTTTTAAACAAATGACACAACTGAAGATCCTTGGCATCTTGTAAGATATTAATTTATGGCTCAAGGCATAAACCTCGTTAAGTGCATCATGAAGAACTTATTTAACATTCATTTCCTATGTTGCCAAGAACTTAGATTGAGCCTAATTATTAGGTTCGAAGACACTTCATGAGTTATTAGTAACTTTGATGTGCCAGTGATGCGGAACTCAAAATTTTATTTTGCAGGTGATTTACAGAGTACTCTTCTTACAATGAGAGAGTCAGCCTACGACGCCAGTGTTGCATTGTCCTTGTATGGGCGTATCATTGGAGGCCACAATGCTCTGACTTCTGAATGTGGTTCTATGCTCGAAGAGGTATGTAATGTATTGATAAGAATTGCATGTCTCAAACAAGTATTAACTGCACTTTTATTTTGCATTGGATTCAATGGGTAGTTAACACATAGTTAGAAACTCAGCAGAGTATATTAAGAAAGTTGAGATATTAAGCAGATACTTATTTATAATGTTATCATAATCAACTTTCGGTGATTAACGAGTCATGAACTTTCAATTATGTTGGCCCATTTTTCTTTTAGTGTATGGATATGCGGCAGTTAAATGTGAATTAGTTCTGTAACTATATCCACATGAATTCCCATTAAAACTTATTTACACATCTTACCATCTTAATCTGAACCAGGCTCACAGTTTCCATTCCTTTGTTTCTCGTAGTTACATGATTTTTCGCTAACCTTCAGTCTGTCTGCAGGTCTTGGCCATAACAGAAGGTTTGCATGATATTCACAGTTTGGGGAAAGAGTCTGCTGTGTTACACTCATCTCTAATGGAAGAACTCTCAAAGGTATTTTTTTTTTTTTAATTGAGCTCTCTGTTTCTTTTTGCTCTCTTTCTTGCCATCTCATTTGACTGTATGTTTCGAAACCTGTATAGGCCAATGCAGTCCTTATCCCACTCGAATCCCTACTCTCAAAGGATGTTGCTGCCATGACTGATGCCATGGGTAGGGAAAAAGAAACAAAATCGGAGATATCCCCCATTCATGGACAAGCCATTTTCCAGTCTTACCATAATAGAGTCGAGGAGGCTTTACGAGTGTTCAAGCCTTTGGTACCTTCTCTTACTGCTTCTGTCAAGGGGCTTTACTCCCTTTTGACTAAGCTGGCTAAGGCTGCAGGTCTTCACGCCGGAAATCTCCATAAGGTAAATAAATATATTCAACAAATTATGTGAATCATTTCATTTGTTTTCTGGCATGTACTGATACTGAATATATTAATATGCATATTTACATATTTTTTTATTCTTCATGACTTCCTTTTCAATATCTATTTGTTACATTTTTATCAAGGCACTTGAAGGAGTAGGAGAAAGCCTGGAAGTAAGGTCACAGGACATTGATCCCCTGAGGACAGATATAACTGATTCTGGTGCTGACTATAATACACAGGAGACTGAGATTTCAGTCAAATCTGATGTTGAGGATGCAAATGTCTCGGTTGATCTGAATGAAGTGACTTTACCGGAAAGTGGTTGGATATCTCCACCAGAAAGCCTCGCTGATAATAGTGAAGAGTCTGGTGGCACATCGGCTGGGACAAGCATTGCAGATAGCTTCAGTGGTCTCGAAATTACTTCACCAACTTCAGGTGGCTCTAAAAGCCAAGAGAAAGCAGATTATCAGACATGCCTCCCGTCAGGTGTGACTGAAGAACGTCTCGGGTCATCACCTCGTGAGACACATTCAGAAAATAAGCAGGTTTTTTTAATAAACATTTTTTTTATCTCCTTTCATTTTTATAAAACTATATGGCTTTTTAAGATTATATAATTTTTTCTCCTCCTTAGTTTTTTTTTTTTTTTTTTTTTTTTTTTTTT